GCAGCAGTTTCCTGGGCCACTAAAATGATGCACAACAATTCAACTCAATACCAGAAATAGGACACGGACTTCAACCTGATTTCATAGAGAAACTTGTTAGCTAACTTCGAACAATGTTATTCGATTGACTGAAAATAATGAAATCTTTACTTAATCATGCAACATTTGACTTTACATAATGCATTAAGTTAACAATAGAAACGACCCCTTACAAATGTTTATCGTCTCTCGGTTCTCGTATAATTTGTTGATTGGCAAAAGGAATCATTTATCTAACACGTCTATTAAAACACTAAAGATCAGTTATGAGTTTTTAACGACACCTTCCTTATTAATGTATCTCATGTCATGTTCTGTCAATTTTAAATTCATACATGTGTGCATTCAATCTGTTAAACCCATGAAAAATAAATGAAACAAGTTTGAGCCTTCTAAAAAGCTATGGACTGCTTCGCTGTATCCTAATTTAAAGTAATATGTGTGCATGTGGTTGTTGAATAAGTATTTGAAATGTGGTATTTTTAGATATTGATTGCTATAAAATGGATGTTCTTTAAGAGTGTGCGTTATACACCCATGCTTTTAAAATTTTTAAATTACTTGTTGAAAATTAAAACAATTATAAATAGACACGACTCTTGATGTGTGCCACTCTGGAGATGTACCTATATTGTCAGAAGTTATAAAATACAGATAATGCATTTTTGTAAACATTGTATCAGAACATTGTTTAGCAAAGCAAATCGTGCAAATTGCAGAGTAAGAAAGCAAATAAACACGTGTTAATAATTGATATTTCAATATTGAATGTATCTGTGAAATATATGTATAATAAAACGAACATGAATTAATGACAGTTGATCGGAACTGAAATACACATAGTTAATTTTCCGACATTTGATGTCTTATCCTTGACGAGAAAAATCTGTGATTTTTTATCTCTTTTCAGCCAATAGCTGTTGCTGTATCTCAGCCGCATCATAATGCAACCAATCAGAGTTTATCATGTGATAAGTAATGAATTCAAGATGGCGTGTATTTTGACTGAAACTAATAGCCTCGCACAATGATGCGAAGCAATAAATTTGATGATATCCTTACAAAATCCTTACAAAGTTGGCTTATACATTTTCGTACATTTTCACCTCCAAAACATCGGACTGCAATTATTTGAATCATTTCCGTCCATTTTCAACGCCATTGACTTGAAAATCGACATTGTGACTGTCGACGTAATTTCTATATATTTTTGTGTGGAAGTGTATTTCATTTGTATTGATTTTAATATTTTAATATATTATATATATATGTGTATTGGTCCTCAGAAGGCATAATATGTAGATCATCATGGTTATTTAAGGCCACATCAATTTGATTTCTTGATCTTCGGGCTTTTGGCCAAACTATTAAAGAACACAAATCCATGTTTGCCAATGAACTTCACGTCACCATGTGCTTAACTCCATAACACACAAAGCATTCCAACTTTTCTCTACTATTATATTATCATTTAACGTTTTAAGGATGTGATATTATTAGAATGCCAAACTAAATTGGTGTTGTTAAAATTTATAGTTATTGTCTGAGATATCGAAATGTCAGTGACGGTCATGAAGTAGCTAAGCATTTTTGAAGTATTTATGGGCTATAAAACTTTTTACATATTCAAAAAGGTGTGACATTTGTTTTCAAGTCCGTATTTAAATAGAATACAAAACAATATTTCTTTTTAACTATAAACATGAAGAGATCATGATAACATTTTTTAAACTTTCTCCCATATTTTGTGACGGTCCTAGTTCCAATTTTATGATATATACTAGTATGTAGCTGTTTACACTAGAACTGCTAATCATATATGCACAAAAAGAAATATCATAAGATGTGGAAACGTTTTCGTGAATAATTCATCACCATATTTTCATCATATGCTATTAGATAGACGTTTTTTGTGTCAATACCAATCAAACACTATCCAGTTACGATTATCTTCTTATTTATTAATACCGAAATTACGATTATCATTTTTGCGAGTAACGATTATCATCCCGAATTTTTCGACGGCAATTTTCTAAGCGCTTAGACAATTATAGTGCACCGTTACGATTCAAATATGATGTTATGGTATAGAAAAACCTTGCAGCTGAGTAACTCTTGACAACAACGGGCGTCATTTGAGAAAAATGACTGAAAAGATTTTACCTATTTCTGCCGTCGCCATATTGGGATCGTCGTAATTCCAGTTTTGATTATCAGTTTAACACCAGTGAACTATAAAAGTGAACGAAAACAAAGGTGCGATATCTACTACACGTGTGTAAATGGAAATTCCACTCTAGCACACTGCAGTAAAAAATGGAAAATTTTATGATTCAAAATTTTATTTTTGTCAGATTCCAGCAGATGCGTGAAGCCCATGTGGATCCGTCAATAACGGATGTTAATTGAAATATAAAGATGATAAACAAAATGTACATATGTTATGTTTTCTCTGACCTCATACGTTTTCATCCCATTTACAGAAAAGTCTGCAGATTTATTTTTTAATTCAACCTTTGATAAATACCATTATTACACAAAAGTTTATTAATCTGATTTTTACATGCTTTAGATTAATATAGAACACAGCATCTATAATTTTGTTATCTATTTATTTTTAGTTTGCATGTCAGTATTGTTGTGATTACTGTTTGTACAACTGCTCATTAAATTATATGCTGCATTAGATTGTAATTTAGTAGGAATTTTAATGAGTTTTGCAATTAACTATGATTCATAATTATAAAGTGACAAGTTCGTATTAAAGGGTTAAAATGGGTGCCCATAGTGAAACCTACATCATGTCAATTACCTTTTTAAACCAATCGTGTATGAATGTTGTCAAATAGACTGTTATCATTTCATCAGAGTGCCAGTACAAAATTGAGAATGGAAATGGGGAATATGTCAAAGAGACGACAACCCGACCAAAGAGCAGACAACAGCCGAAGGCCACCAATGGGTCTTCAACGCAGCTAGAAAATCCCGCTCCCGGAGATGGTCCTCAGCTGGCCCCTAAATAAAATTGTGTAATAGTTCAGTGAAAAAGGACGTCACACTAAACACCAAAACATATAAATAAACTAAAATTAAAAAAACATATGTTTGGGAACTACACAAAGTAAAAAGGTAAGACAGATTTGTAGTTCGAAATTTACTTGAAGCTAAGATGAAACAATAGTTGAAGGTCTTTTAATTGTAATTGAGGTAACCCATACATAAAAGGGACCTGAAAATGTTCAATAGATGCATTAAACTGACATGTGGTAATGACATGACTATTCACCATGTGACTCTCTGTTGAGTATTTATGTCGTGTCACTACCATATTGTTACATGCGTAGTCTGCCGGTACAAACACAAAACGCTTTGAACAAACAGTTTAAACCCCTCTTGATGTTTTAAAGCCTGTACCTAGTCAGAAGCCTGTTTTCCAGTTGTATTTTTTTTTATCTTTTTGGTTAATAGTTTAACATTATTATTCGATAACAGGAGTATTATAAAGTTTATTAAATGTCGTCCCTCTCAACCATGCTACACTCTTCTATGATAGGAAACTAATGAACAAAATATTAGTAGTTAATTATATGTGTTGGAACGACACGAATGGCACGTCTTAAAAAGTTGAAAAATCTGCAACTTCAACAACACATGTGGACACCAACATGCATGGATAGTACCGAGCTCTCAAATCCAATACTAGTTCAAGCTGATGAAAACGAGTAGTCAAATTTCAAACTATCAGCAAACAAGAAGTGGATGTACTGAAGATCTGAAACGACATGAAAATCAGCATAGCGGAACGAACGATAAACATGATCTGTAACTCATCATGGTTGATTCACATATAAAAAATCAGCACAAATTTTGAAAGCGTGTAGAAAAAAGTTCGTACAACTGTGATTTTCAACAATTTATCAAAGTTCAAAGTCCGTAATTTCGACAAAATTTGCAATGCAGACCGAAACTTAAACTTGATCAGTAACTCATCATGGTTAAAATACATATAAAAAAATAGCCCAATGTCTGAAGGTATTTAGAAAAAAATTCGTATAACTGTGATTTTCAACAATTTATCAAAATCAATCTTTGTTGCTGGGCCACAAAAATATCTTTACGCAGGTTTAAATGTTGGTGTGATGATATTGGTGTGATGATCATGATGATATTGTTTCCTGTTGCTCATATAATAATCTGCTTCGCCAAGTTTAATATCATGTTTCACATCATAGTAACGGCTGGATTTCGTCCATTCTTTGGTAAATAATTTTCGTCAAACAATCTGGGTTGTATGATAAGGAATCAGTACATTTGGTTTGCAACTTCATACTGTTGCAACAGGTAGGCAACTTTTAAATCTGCCGTGTAGCCACTCCCTGTTTGTCGATAATTTTTTACTAAGAAAATAATTTTATATTTTGTATTCACCTTCATAATGACTAGTCGAAGCAAATAAGCAATTTTTATATCTGCCCGGTAGTCACTTTTTGTAGCGGGTAAGCATTTGTTACATCTGCCGTGCAGCAACTTCTTGTTTGTCGATCGTTCGGAAATCAATCAACAACACTGAAAATGTATCGGCAAAGTTTACCTAGCCTTTAAAAAATTACGTGATCAATAACGATTAAGCAGACAAGTACCAACATAAAAAATATCTAACCACATATCTATTTGTGCATTTTAAATATTGTTTGTCAATTGGTATTTAAAAGTTTCAAATACAACATTCAATTGTGTGGTTTCGTATTACTAAAATATTCCAAATCCGTGTTTAGTTTTATCATTTGACGTTTATGTATCCGACAGACATCCTGTTCATTTAATACTCCTTTCAAATTATATCTATTTTCGTCAATGAAATGTCTTAAATTTCTATCCGTGCGACACTATAATATTTTAATATTCTATGGAGTTTTTAAATTTGGTAAATATCAGTTCGTAAAATACAACACATATGCTTATTGACGAGCAGTTGAATATATTTAAAAGTATGCGTCTAGGGTAATATATGAAATAATAAAGGAAATTATTGGAGATGTTCTAGCTATCAAGGTAAAACTGTAAGATTGGAATTTATCTTCATTTATTTTGAATAATTTTTTTTATACCTGCGTAAATATAAATGTGAATATACATATATTTGTTTGTTCGTTTGTTCAAATTACAAATGTGATGTGAATATAAATGTGTTTTTTGCTTGTTTATTTGTTCAAATTATTGTTTTTGAGAAATTATTTCCGTTTTACTGAGATATCGCTACATAAATGAATTATCGGTTTTTATGACCCCTAACGTTACAATTTTACTTAACATGCATTTTTAGCAAATTAAAGTGAACTTTGACTGCAACCCCCGATCCATACGAATCTTTTGCTTAGGGATTCAATACTAGAATTAACACGGTTAAGTGACAAAACACATTAGATTTCCACTGATGAGTCTCATTGGAGATTTCCTAATTTGGTATGTTTCAGGTACGGTGGGTACGTTACTCAACCGTTAGTGTTGTTTTATATTTCATTTAATGCATGAAATTATTTTATTGATAATCAAATTGAAAAAAAAAAATGCATTTCATTAGGGACTTTCCGTTTTGAATTTCCCTCGGAGTTCAGTATTTTTGTGATTTTACTTTTCCTCATAAGATAACTTTTTATCCAAAAGTAATGATGCCGCCGCTTCTTGAATACTTTGTTTGTGATTACTAGTACATATGATTAAATCTAGTAATTCAAATTCAACAGACAAAAATGATGACGTTAAAAATATATTATAGAGTGATCAATATGTTTTGCAATGCTCCTTTATGTTTGGATTCCGTCCTGGATACGGCACTTCTGATGCCATCTTCTGTCTTCATTCTTTGATTTCTAAGTCGTTAAGAAAGGGTAAACGCTTGTACTGTTGTTTCATCGATTATATTAAAGCCTTTGATAGTGTTTTTCATGTTAAGTTGTGTGGTCTAGACTAGTTAGATGTGGAGTTACTGGCAAACTTCTTACTGTAATTAAATCTATGTATTCAAAATTAAAAACTTGTATAAAGTGTAATGGAAAAATTTAAGATATTTTTGAATGTAATACTGGCTTGATGCAAGGGGAATCTTTATTTCCATTATTATACTCATTGTATGTTAATGATATGGAAGTAGAGTTAATTAGTAATGGCTGTCAGTCATATGAATTGAAATCTTTAAATTTATTTTTACTTATGTAGGCAGGCGTCACTGTTTTATTTAGCGAGAACATAATGATTTGCAAAATATGATAAAAGCTGTAAACTCTTCTTCAAAGGAATGTGGTTTATATATCAATATGTCTAAAGCAAAAGTTGCCGTGATTAGAAATAGAGGTAGTGTAAAAAGTCAAGAAAATGGTTTTTAAATAATAACCAACTTGATATATGTGACAATTTTGTATATTTAGGTATCTTTATTAATTATAATGTAGCTTTTTACATACACAAAAAATGTTAGCCAATCAAGGTAGAAAGGCTGTTTTTGCTTTATGTAGTAAAATTGTTGATGATGATTATTATAATTGTGAAACGTTACTGTCCTTATTTGATACTTGTGTATTTAGTATTCTTAATTATAGCTGTGAAGTGTGAGGTAATCATAAAGCTGGTGATATAGATAAAAGTACATTTGTATTTTTTAAATCGAATTATAAATGTTCGAAACACTGCTGTTAGTAACAAGGTTTACTGTGAATTGGGACGTTACCCAATGTATTATGAAAGACAAAGCAAAATGATTCAGTTTTGGTTTAAGTTATTAGATACTGATAACTGTATATTAAAAGCATGTTATGAAGATATGTTGAAGAGTTCATTTAAAAAACCCAAAGACAAATTGAATTGGGCATGTTCAGTCAGAGATATTTTATGCAAATATGGTTTTCATGATGTATGGCTAAACCAAAGCGTAAATAATGTTGATATATTTATACATGAGCTAAAACAACGAATGAAAGATACCTTTATCACTGATATTAATGCGTTTTTTAACAATTCATCTAAATGTATACTTTATATATATATGACACAGGTATATTGCAATTTTATTTAGATAGACCTGTTAATCAAATATATAAACCTTATATATGTAAATATCGTATCTCTGCCCATAGCCTCAATGTCGAGACAGGCAGATATTACAATGTAGATAGAGAAAATAGATTATGTACTATGTGCAATAGCAATATTGTTGAAGACGAATACCATTTTATTTTAGAATGTAATAGATATAATGATGTAAGAAAACAATATATTAAGAAATATTATTGGCAAAAACCATCCACTTTTAAACTTATACAGTTGTTATCAGTTCACAATGTGAAAGAACTTAATAATTCAGGTAAATTTTTGTTCAACATCGAAAAAATCCGTAATACGTACATTTTGTAGTTGTATTCCTTATTTATCATATGAATTTATTGTCATTCTCCGCCATATGTGTATTTTGTATAATTATTATTATTAATATTACACTGATGCATTTAAAAATTTGATGTAAAAAAGTGTATTCTATAAGCTGTATTGCTTCTGAATGAAAGTATTATTATTATGTTTGGTCCCTTCATTTAGCCAAAAATATACAAATGAGTCTTATCATTTTTTGATACTATAGGTTATCTGTTCGAAACAGAAATAACGACAATTTGCAAGATGTTAACAGTACAACAAGGTGGTTATGTAAACAATGTCGTCGATGGAGGCCTAACTGACTTATCCGATACTGTAGTATACGACGAATGTCTTGAAAATGTCGACAAATCCGATTATGATCAATTATCTCCAGAAAAAGACGGTTTCAATCACGATTATATAATTCTTACATCAACACTCAAGGCGGAGTCCAATCAGTCAGACAATGAAGTTCATCAAAAGAACAAATCTCTACTGAGGCCAATATTTCTTATAATGTGTTGCATCTTGATTTCAGCAGGAGCTACAGCTGCTGCCACCTTCTTTGCAACAAAACATTTTTATTCAGAAAACAAGGGCAAGTGTAAGTGTATAACAAATTGGTAATTATATGGTAATTTGAGTTTCTATCATATGGCATAGAAAGACACATTTGGCGCACATGAAACATGTTGAACCACACTACATTTAGTGTTAACAAATTCAAGATACTATAAGATGGTCAATGTTTTATAATTTGTTAGTTAATTTTTTCGCTGGAGTTTGTGTTATCTTTTTTATGTCCAGTATTTTCTTAATGTTATTTTCATTCAGTATCACCAATCCATAGTAAATATAAAAAGAAGATGTGGTATAATTGCCAATGAGACACCTCTCCACAAGAGACCAAATGGCACAGAAATTAACAACTATAAGTCACCGTACGGCCTTCGCCAATGAGCAAAGCCCATACCGCATAGTCAGCTATAAAAGGCCCCGAAATGACAAATGTAAAGCAATTCAAACGAGAAAACTAACGGCCTAATTTATGTTAAAAAAATGAACGAAAAACAAATATGTAACACATCAACAAACGACAACCACCGAATTACAGGCTCCTGACTTGGGACAGGCACATACAAGAGTGTGGTGGGGTTAAACATGTTAGCGGGACCCCAACCCTCCCCTTACCTGGGAAAGTGGTATAACTGTACAATATAAGAACAGCTTAATCAGTACATATAAAAGAATCATTGAACGTATTTGGGCACAAATTTTCGGAATTTTGGGTCCTCAATGCTCTTCAACTTTGTACTTGTTTGGCTTTTTAACTATTTTGATCTGAGCGTCACTGATGAGTCTTATGTAGACGAAACGTGCGTCGGCGTATTAAATTATAAGCCTGGTACCTTTGATAACTATTCAAACCATTAAAAAAAACCCGGAAAGATGCATCTTAAAGGGGCATTAGATAGGAGTCAAAATTTGATTATTTTTTGTTCAATCATTAATGAAAGTGACATTGTGAAATAATAGAAGTGTTCAGTTATAAAAAGAAAAAGAATGCCAACATGGATTGGAAACAAAAGTAAACCATTTGGTTGACTGACTATAATATGAAATCTAACAGATAAATCCAATTGCACGATTTCGCTATTTATTTATATTTATGTTTATTTCGAGTTATTTGACCATCGCCAGTCTTCCGGGGTTATCCTTGATAGTTTGTTAAAGGCGTCTGGACTAAGATACTCACACAATGCTGATACATATCATCAAGCCTATGCATTGTAAATTGTTTGTTTTAGACTTTTTATAATTTTGATATACGTTTTAGTATGTTATGAATCATACATGAGAATTTAAGTTAAATATCAAGAAAGTAAACCAATGTTTAGCTTATCAACTCAAAACCATTTACACCAGACTCGTCGACAATATTCGATTCATATGTGTATAACCTGTCGAATGATTCAAAACTCACATGTAGTAGAGAGTTAAGATGTCGGCTGTGCTGCTCCTGATACCGTTATAATATAACTCATATATAAGCTTCCTCAACTAATGTACAACGCAATGTAATGAAAAATAATATGTTTTTCTGCATACCTTTGTTTAACTTAGGTGACACCAGACTAAAATGATATATAAAAGAGAGTTACAGCTATTAAAAAATAATTTGCTATACTTTGAAATTTTAACCGCTATTTTCGTATACATAAGACTGATAAGTGGGGTTTGTATCAAAATTATTTGAGGACTATATTCTATACGAAGTTTGAAGGCATTGAAAACGAACCAGTTTGAATAATATGGTTGATATATAAATAAGTAGATGTGATATGATTGCCAATGAGACAACTATACACCAAATCTCAAATGGAGTAGATGTAAGCAATAATAGCCAACCGTAGGGCCCTCAACATCGAGAAATACCCATACCGTATAGTCGTCTATAAAAAGGCCCCGATTTGAAAAATATGAAACAATTCAAAAAATGATACCCTCGGTGACAACACGTCAACCAGAACTTTACCAAACCAAGTGGTTGTAAAAACTTCGCAAAATACCAGTTTTTCTACATACAACTTATCAGTGGAGCACTTTTATGACAGTTTGAAGACTGAAACAAATACAAAATGCATGGCTGGTGATACCTTCAAGGACGAGACATTCACCGGAATGGCATCAATTCTATGGTTGTTAAAGCATAGATCAGGAACATGATTGTAATAATGCCACCTTAACATAAGTGAATATATGGAATATTCGACAGAATAGTAGTGATATTGAGACGCCGTGAAGTCAAACATTTACATATTTATAAAATAACATTTGCTGCATAAAAAAATATTAATTATCCCTTTTTCAATTTTATCTAAATCTAATTTTCAGATACAGACTCAACACAATGCAATGTGACTAGTGACAACGGCTATAATGAAACAATCGACAGTCCTGGTATGTTTTTTTTCACTAACCACAGTTATCTACTAGATTACCACTTTAAGTTAACACAATGATATGTTTTGTCCCTGCCGCTATTTTTCTTACATCCATCAAGCTCCTTAGATAAGACACAAATAAGACCTGAATGAGGTAGACAAGGATTAATATATTCCATAAATACATAACAGAGTTGGTTTAGTCAATTGGTGAAGGTTTCATTATCTGGATTTTTCAAAACACATCTAAAAGAAAAACAAAATTCCTGAACGCAAGAATTATCTAGGGTAATTGTTTAAAACAGCAACAAAAATATAATCATATCGATATCATTTCACAAAATAAGCCAAAATTATCAACTTCAAAGTTTGAAGTAAGCATTGAACTTCACTACGTTTTTAAATCCTTTTTATAATATGTTCAATGATATACATTATGTCTATTCACACTTTCTTGTAAGCAAACACAATGTGGTATAATAACACATTTTGCAATTCTCCGAAAGAGGTCGATTTTGTAATTATACGGTTTCCTTTCTTAAAGCTTATAAAGGGAATCTATTAATCCAAGAATTACAAGTGGTCAAGTTTAAACCAGCCATTCATAAATTTTACGTACATCATCACGAGTTGGTTGACCGTTTTGGAATAGCAGTTTCATCGATGACGACTGATATGTTAATATTGTCGTAAACACAATTTTGTCCTCTTTTCTACGAATGTTACCTTCCGAATTAAGATTTGTCACTGGGTTTGTACTTACATGAGGAACACGACGGGTGCCATTTGTTTAGCAGAATATTCTTACTCTTCCGGATGGTATGAAATCACCGCCAGCTTTTTGTGTTTTGTGTTGTAGTGTTATATGTTTTCTGTTCGTCTTATACTTTTTAGCCATGGCGTTCTCAGTTTATTTTCGACTTCTATCTACCCAAAACATTTCAATATCAGTTGAACTTTTCCGCCCACAGAATCTAATTTTTCAGAATTTCTTTCTATTTTAACCGTTGCATAATTTTTATGTGAATAAAACTAAATGATCGGCACTTAAATACAAAGATCTTACTCTCATTATCTTGTTAAGTTAGCATTTAAATCTTTAAAGATGACGGAAAAGGTTTAAATCAAAAGACTCTTGCAGATGAGCCTGACTATCTTACTGGCGTGAAATTTTAAGAAGGTAAATTGAATGAGGACAAAAACAGTTTAAAGAAACGGATACTTCTATACTAAACTGCACAGGGTACCTGAGCTAACCCTGTTTGTTTGGTGTATTGTTTGTTGTACAATTATCAGTATTTCGTATAATGTGTTATCTATTTTCTGATTTTCTTTTGTGTTTTTAACTAATATTATTATAACATTATATATTTACCCTCTCCTTTATTTTCACTAGGCAAACCTTATTCATTTAGATTGTTTTCATGTTGTTTTGTATGACAAACTGATTTCATGTCACGAGGTATGAAATCAGTTTACTTTACAGTTCAAATAAACGTTCAAAACTTAATATTTGAATGAATGAAACTTTTGTCTCATTGTAGGGTCATGTGTAATAGAACCATGTGAAAACGGAGGAACATGCGTAAATACTATATGTTTATGTCAAGATGGGTTTGCTGGATCAAAGTGTGAAATAGGTTGGTTCCTAAATTGTAATCATAATATTCACGATGAGTTTATTCCATACTAGTTCTTGGTTTACGACATGCACAAATTTACCAATATAATAAAATCTAAAATGATTATTTTGAGAACTGATTTAGCCTACATTTGATTAAACTTTTAATATACAAAATTCTCTCTCACATAGGGAAACACACACGTGATTTTCACGTGGAATACACATGAATTTATCTCAAAGAAAATAAAACGAAGGTTTATGACGTGAAAATCAGGTGCAATTAAAAAAATTGTTTTCAAATAACATCTTTATTTTCTTATTGAATTAAAATGATCAAATATTCAATTTTATTTGTAAGATCACATGAAATTCACTTGAAAAAATTATATGCGATATTCATGCAAATCTTAATTCACGTGAAAATGTTCATGTAAGTATCACGTTTAAGCTCGTTTGAGGTGTATTTTGCGTGAATTAATGTATAAGTGTAAAAAAACAAATTTCGAAACTTGCCTTTCCTACTTAGAGATGCCCACTTTCTATTATTAAACTAATCAAAAATTGAAATGATCCTTTTTTCCAGATGTCAACCAAACATGCAAAGCTGATGCCGACACATTTATACCACATCCAAATACATGCCAGCTATTCTATAACTGCAGTCAAGCGTTGACCCCCCTTCCAAAAGAAGACAGAATATATACATATAAACCACAAATTTTGAGACCTGCCTACCTGCACGAATGTCCTTATCCTGAACTTTTCTCAGTGAAAACTCTGTCCTGTCAAAATTATACAGAAGTGGAATGCGGATCGAGATATGAAACAAAAAATAAATGTAAGTATAGTAGAACAGAAATTCTGTTAATTGATGCAAACAAGGCCCGGCAACATATATCAATCAACATTAATAGGGCTTAGCTGCTGAAGTTGTGTATCTTTTGATTTTACTTTAGTTTCCCCGTTATCTGTCTTTTTGTATTATTTTTATTTTGATCGTATGACTTTCGACATGACTCGGTATTTATGCAGCCCAAAGTTTTTGAATGTGTTACTTTGGGCATCCCTTGTCAACCTTGGTCCTGAGGTGCGATTTCACCTTATCAGAAAATGAACATGTATTATCTTATTTTGCATTAACAACGGAATTTGTTTGTTGACATAATTTCAAAGAGAATTGTAGAAAAATTGGCATGATGGCTTAAGGTCGCTCGGGTGTCTGCTTCCATCTTTGATTTTGAAGTAGCAGATAACAATTGGTCTATATCTTTAATGGAATGTGGCAAGAGTTGTATGTAATTCATGTGAAAGACTTTTAAGGTCAATACAGAAATTTATGTGTTTTATCATATTTACGACTGCATTTTCTGAAAAAAAACCACATAATTCTTGTTTGGTTAATTTTTTTTCTAATTGCCACATAAGGGAGATAACTCACATAGTAGTGGTGATAACTCCGATACAGTAATTTTTATAATAGAAAGTGTTATGAATTTACCTATTTTAATATCTAGCAAGTCCGGTGACCCCACTTTTTCTTGTTCTTATCTGAAAGCATGTTATTTTCATTTACCTGTGTATAATATAAAGTTATTTTTTTCAAAAATGATGTTTTTCTGAAATTGCTTTATATTTCACAGCGGTATAATACTTTAACTTTAATCATTCATTCCTTATTTTTATTAACTTTGTATTTACATTGTATCATAGATCAAATTTATTCGATCATTGTGTGTTAATTTGTGTTACTACGTTTTTTGATTGAGTTAAGCCATTCCAATTGATATTTTATAGTGTGTCTTTCTATGTTGTGATGTTTTACTATTATTTCAGATAAGGGTGAAGGTTTGGCACCATTAACACGTTTTATCCCACTGCAATTGTTTGCACCTGTCCTAAGTCAGGAATCTGATGTTTAGTAGATGTCGTTTGTTTATGTGGTTCATAAGTGTTTCTCGTTTCTCGTTTTTTATATATATTGGACTGTTGGTTTTCCCGTTTGAATGGTTTTATACTAGTAATTTTTTGGGGCCCTTTATAGGTTGCTGTTCAGTGTGAGCCAATCCTCCGTGTTGAAGACCGTACCTTGACCTATAATGGTTTACTTTTATAAATTGTGACTTGGATGGAAAGTTGTCTCATAAGCACTCATACCACATCTTCCTATATCTATATAAGAGATATCTCCTCACATTATATCTTAAAATTCTATGGTGTAGTTTTCTTTTAATAACACAAAATTGGATTTTGTAATGCATAATGTATTCAAAATCTGACATTTTTGCACAACCTGTAACGTGAAAAAAGGTCCTGTGACCCATACTTTGTATTATATTTTTGAAATTAGAATGATGATAACTACATTTTGACAAATTATTAGAAAATTCTATTGATTTTAATTCAGACGCCCCAGCCAATTTAAGAGACAACTTAATGACACAAAAATTTGCAACTATTAGTCATCATACAGCCTTCAACAATGAGCAAAGCCCATATCGCATCGTCAGCTATAAAAGGCCCCGAAATGACAAATGTAAAACAATTCAATCGAAAAAACTAACGACCTAGTTTATGTACAAAATAATGAACGAAAAACAAATATGAAACAAAGGCAACAAACGACAACCCCTGAATATCAGGCACTAAAAGAATGTGGCGGGGTTAAACATGTTAGCGAGCGTCCAACCCTCCTTTAACCTGGGACAGTGGTGTACTTTCAGCTTGGCTTTCGTTAAACGTAGTTTTTGCTACCGAGGTGATGCGAAGCTATATAAACGGATATTTGCGGCAGCAAAATAAAGTTTTACGAAGGCCAATCTTATAATTCAATACAGTTATCTCAATTCGGATGCCACATATTTGAATAAATTAAAAGACATATTGGCTTTAAAATGAAATAAATTAAAAATGTTGCATCTTCTTTGGCACCTTAACAATGTGATGTGTTAAAGGTGCGCTTCCGACATATTTATTATTTTCATATGCCTTTGAATGGTTTAGATGTTGAGAAATAGAAAATTTTGAGGCGCAAAATGCAACTTTTGTTTTACTAAATCTTTGAAAATTTACATTCCCCCAAAATATAAAATGCAAATGGTGGCTTTCCTTAATTAGTTACGGAATTGTAGAACGTTGAATCTGACCCTTCAAGATACTTGTCAATGTCAAATGAAAATAAACGATCTAAACGAATTAGAATATCAAACTTATTACACCTTTTTTGTTTGTCTTTTTGTGATTAACTGGTTTATTTGTTTTATGTATCCGTTTTTATTCTGTAATTAGTCACCACTTCGGTGTTACCATGTATATCTATTATATAGTCATTTTTATAAATTTACTCTTTGCAAAAGTATGAATTATTCTAAATGCTAAGGATTTTCTTATCCCGGATATATAACCTTAGCCGTATTTGGCACGACTTTTTAGAACTTTTGATCCTCAATGCTCTTCAACTTTATACTTGTTTTGGCTTTCGAACTTTTTTGATCTGAGCGTCACTGTTAGTCTTGTGTGGACGAAACGCGCGTCTTACGTATTAAATTTTAAACCTTGTACCTTTTGTTAGCTATTATTCGTATGTTTATCTGTCCTTTATGTTCTCCCATTTATTTGTATTGTAGTCCTGTCATGTAATGTTGTCATTTTAATGTTATATTTAACATTGCCATACAAGCGGGAGGTTTGGCTAGCCACAAAACCAGGTTCAACCCACCACTATTTTTCTTAAAATGTCCTGTACCAAGTCAGGAAAATGGCCATTGTTATATTATAGTTCGTTTCTGTGTGTGTCACATTTTAATTGAGGTTTCTGTTGTGTCGTAGTTCTCCTCTTATATTTAATGTGTTTCCCTCAGTTTTAGTTTGTAACCCGGATTTGTTTTTTTCTCAATCGATATATGAATTTCGAACAGCGGTATACTACTGTTGCCTTTATTTATTTGTTTGAATTTGTTAGTCAGTTGTGTTGTATAGCTATGATGTATAAAACCGAGGAAAAAAATATTTGGGCACACATTTAAATATTATGCGTAAAAGGGTTTTAAATACCTCGTTTGAAAATTCTCATAAACAAGCTGAAATCCTGTGAAATTGATTAAACAAAACAACCTAAAATATAATCTTTTGCAAGGAATATAATGTATAACAACGAAGCAAAATCATCAATTTATATTTAAGACATTGATTTGAATTATTCAATAACCAAAAAGTTTGATTTAATACGCTAGCAATGTTCATGTTACCTGTATATTACTGTGGTCTATGTTTTCATTCATGCAGGTGATTACCTTGCGATAAGCTATACTTGTGATTCTGCATGCAAATTATGCATCTATTTTACTCCTGACTGTGTTGGATTTGCAGACGGGATATACGACAATATATATATTTCAATTGGAGGGACATATTTTGAATGTAAAGATGAAAGAAACATTTATGTTGGTGAAAATCCTTGCCCAACTAGCATGGCACCTTACAATGGCGAATGCAAAGATCTTTTTGAAATACCAATAAACCATTATGGGATTGGATATGGTGTTGATTGCAACGGTAGGGAAAATGGTAACTATAAATGTGAAAGGATTCGAAGATGCGATATCTACTACACTTGTGTTAATGGAATTCCAACGCTATCACACTGTGATTCGGGAAAAACTTTCGATTCAAAATCCTCATTTTGTCAGATTCCAACAAATGCATGTAGTCCATGTGGTTCCGTCGTAAATGGTTGTTAAAGTCATATATGAAACGAGTGACTGATGAAAAATAATGTTAATTCAATTCTTGAACCATGAATATCTCATAAACTTAGTCTTCTGTGCACGATTTTATCATTGGTTACGTATGCATATCGTATTATCGTCAATAAAATATATTACTTGGTCAGTGTTGTTGTGAATATATGGCAGCTTATTAATGGTCGTGTTTGAAACCGAAGTTTACCGATTGTCACCGATTTTTACGAGAAAGGTCACGCTGAGGTAACTGCATATGGAAAACATATCAGCGAATTGTTGGCTGGAAGCTATTAATAAACAAAAAAAAAAAAACGAAATTTCTTCTATATTTGAAGTTTCATATGACTTTAACAGAAATGTTCAGAAGATATTATACAAATTAGGCCATTTTTTCATGTCGTTCAATACATACGTTTTCATTGCATTTACAGAAAATTCTGCACAATAGTATCACATAACGTTTGGACAAAGAAATTTGTTTCGGCATTTGAATGTTTCCATTATGATTCGCCGTTTCAGAATCTAGAGGTATATGATGTTTTTTGTAAGTTATTTCACTCAACCGAAAATAACACCATGGAAAATTAGTGTATATAGATATAAGAAGATGTGGTATGAGTGCCGAGAAACGAGAAACACGTATGAACCACATCAACAAACGACAACTACTGTCCATCAGATTCCTGACTTAGGACATGTGCAAACAAATACAGCGGGTTTTAACGTTTTAAAATGTACAAACTTTCACCCTTATCTGAAAGAATAGTGTAACATCACAACATAGAAATACACAGAATGAAATATAAAATCAATTAAAATAAGGGGTTTGATGTTAATCACTTACAGAAAAACAACCATAACCTTGAACAAAATGCCGCCGAATAGAATAATGTACACAGGCAAATGAAGATAATTGTGTTGAAAGGAATTAAGTATAAATTGAATACCGAAATATTTTTTACAAAATATGTAATTTTGTTGTTCATTGTACGAGAACAGAAGTGAAAATTTATAGTCATACCAAACACTTATCAAAGCTGTCATAGATTAGAAATAGAGAGACTATATATAACCCTAAATAAGTAAACATTAAATTACAAAAATGTATTACAAACTGTATCAACAGATCAAATTAACAAGAAAGTACGATTTGAGGGTTCTTGCAATTACTGAAAGCTAGCTAAAACCCAAAAACAATTAATAATAAAAAATCTTGTATTGGAGACAAAAATCTACCAAAACACATACATGGGATTAAGTATTTTAACACCATGGACAGTCAAAGAAGACATGACTTTTGCAATGCCAAAGATAAAAGTATCGACAGGCAGTAAGATAGTTAGGAGTTAACGTCTATATAGAAATAATGAATGTGGATGTGTATGTATACATCCCGTTTGAAAAGAGTACAAATTTAGTTATGTTTTAATTTGCTGATGACAAAATCGATATTTGTGCCAATTTCAACGATATTCAAAGATCTAATTACAATATTTGTATGATCACCTTCAATAATTAGTTTGTTTAAATGTTCAATGAGTTTACACGTATCACATAGTGATTTCCGCGCTTATAGTACAATATTACCGTAAAATTTAGGATGTGAAAAAGTATCCTTTCATATTTCTTTGTATCATAGTTACGTTAGCTTGTTTGTGTTGTGAAAATCATGAAAAGTGGACTCAATGATGCTCAAACCTGCCAATTAAATACAAGGTATCATATCGAAGTAAAATTAATTATAAAATTGTTTCTTTTTCCAAAATATTACACATTTAAGAATCAAGCGTTGAAAATGTGTATTTAATAAGTTAATCATAATTTAGTTATGGTTCTAAACACCCTTTATTGGTAATAGTAAATTTGTAAATAAACTCATCATAGATACCAGGATTGAAATTTTGTATTTGCGCCAGACGCGCGTATCGTCTACCAAAGATCATCAGTGACGCTCGAATAAAAAAAAGTTAAAAAGGCCAAATAAAGGTCGTAGTTGAAGAGCATTGTGGACCAAAAATTCCTTAAAGTGTATAAATGACGATATTACACAAATTAGTTAATATGTACACTAATAGCTATTACATAAAATATAAGATTAAGCTATTTTAATGTCCTATTTGTTCATATTGCTCTTAAACTATTTCGATTTTTACTCATCCTTGGATTTAAAATATTTTGTTTTTAATGCTCCTGTTGAAGGTTGATCCTTCACCGCTTCGGACGCTTCTGATAAAAAGTTTTGTCTTCACATGTTACTGACAAAATATCATTTGAGAGACACGTGCTCAATATAAATTAGGTGAAACAAATTAATTTTAACTAATTTTTGTTTAAAACTATTAAATTTCGGTCAGGGTGTAATTTGTATTTTGTGTCATCAATGCTTGGCTCATATGAATATTTTATGAAGGCTTTTCTGTAAATGCTTAAAATGTGATTGGTACTTGGATTATAAAATGTTTATTTTTCTGTCAAAAACCAAACCAGTCCGAAAATAAACCTTCTTTTAAGGATTTAAAATCAAATAATGTGTTCTCAGAGGCTACAATATTTACTGCTTATTCAATATTTATCTTCATGGTTCGCATTTGATTTTGCCATTTGATTGGGGACTTTACTTTTTGAATTTTCCTCGGAGTTCAGTATTTTTGTGATTTTACTTTTTTCAAGATCTATTTGCCAAACTGATAATACAATCACATATGATTAATACTTTAGTGCAATAATATGTTCCCCATTGTTACAGTTATCGATGACGATCATAATGCTAGAAATATTATTCAGAGAATTACCATTAGAGAAATTTGTGTACATTAAATCGTGTTTATTTTATCACAATATATTGCAACTCATCAACACGTTTATACTCCGGAAATGATTCCTGGAAATAATTAACATTAACATTAACTTATACCACTTTTTAAAACACACCTGTACATACATTATAACTTTACTACAATCTATTGACTTAGAATGGGATTTGCAATGAGTTTCGAAAACAGCTGTTTGAATTTACGCGCTTGCTCGTCCCAAAAGAAAAAAAAACCAAAACAAATGGACATGGTTCAAGGGAAGGTTCTGTACTGGTCGAATATCAAGAAATGTTCTAATTTTCTGTTGTTGTTAAAATGCGATTATTTTGAAATTGTTTTGTATTTATAATCTTCCCGAGTGTTTGTAAATAACCATATTGATCATTTTATATTTTTAATTGAAGCTGTAAATGTTAAAGAAACATACTGACAGATTTTTCTGTAGACTAGATATCTCACATTTGAGAAATGTTTGGTGCAATGGGACTATTGAATAAGTATTATAGTTTACGTTTTGCCATCATGATAAGCAGACCATAATATGTGACTATGTGTGATATTCCTACATCAATTTACTATGAAATAAATGGTGATCGCGAGTGTTATTTTTTCTTTAAAAATTTGTTGTGGTACTCTTTGGAGAAAAAAATCCTTGAAAGATATCTCCTAGTAATCATTGATAGCAAAGTTGATATGATTGGCTATGCAATTACGAAGGTGATTTATTTTAGAATTGATCAAACGGAATAAATACTTGCCTCTGGTTTTAAATTGCAGCCTAGTCGGATTCTTATTTTTTCTTTCAAAACATTTAAGATCGTTGGGTTTTCCGATAGAATGGTTTAACACTACTCATTTTTGGGGTCCATTATAGCTTGCTGTTTGGTATGAGCCAAGGCTCCGTGCTGAAGATCTATAATGGTTTACTTCTACTTATTTGTGACTTGAATGGAGAGTTGTCTCATTGACACACATGCCACATCTTCGTATATCTCCTATGTATCTTTTAAACATGGTTTAGACTGATAATATGATTCAACATTGAAGAAACTGTTTTTTGAGAAGTGTAACCAGAACCGATGTGGATAAAAGTAACTAAATAAGAACGACATAATGTGTGAAAATAATAAAGAGGCTTATTGTTAGAGGTTTAGCTAGCTATAAAACCTGGTTAATTCACCATTTTCTACTTCAGAAAAATTCCTAAACTACGTCGGGAACATGACAGTTGTTATCCATTCGTTTAATGTGTTGGAGCTTTTGCATTTGCAATTTGATTAGGGACTTTCCGTTTTGAATTTTCCTAGCAGTTCGATATTTTTGTCGTAAGGTATCAGAGGAGAGGTAAATAGTAACGTCGACTATTCTCAAAATACACTTATGACGTAAATCATTGTTCAAACGCTCCATTATTTTTAGGAAATATAGAGTTATTTTCTATTGTTTATACTCATTCCTCCGGAAGTTTTGCCCTTTTGATATCCCCTTAACATCCACCACATCAGATTCACCCAACTTCGTCTTCATTTCATGGATCAGTTTTGATGGTCAAGTAAGTTGTTCAGATATTTTAAGTAACAGGTCAACTATATTTGGTGAATGCAATGATTGTAATGTGTAAAGGCCAGTTTCATCTGAATTTGAACTATTTTTCATGGTTCATTGGTCAATTGTTTTCGTTTTGATGTCTGTTTCTCAGATACCATAAGCTAAAGGATAACAATATTTGGTGTATGGTGTGATTATGTAGTGATTATGTCTGTCTGGCAGGGTTCATTTAAACCTTGACACCTTTTCAATGATTATTGATAATGTTTATTAATCTATTTCAAAATTAAAAGAAAATCTTCATATTTCACACTTTTATCATACATTCAATTATGATTAGTAAAGCAGACGAGACATTTCAGCATGTGTCCTCTTGCGAAGATGGAATAATCCAAGACAAAGATGATAACCTCGGGCCATTTGTTCAACATTAAAATACAATGGGTGATGTAACTCGAATAATTCAATCCCTCTCCGTGTCCGATTTTCTTCCACGCGAGGGCTTGAACTCTTAATGATCATTGGTCGCATCGCTGGCTCTCTGTGAGAGAGAGCCAATCGGCGACGATCAGATTGTGAGTCTGCGCAAATCTATGAAAACAGTTTCCGCCCGCAATATATAAACAATCAAAATGGATGTCGTTAATGCTTTGAAAACAATAGAGATGAAATATGCCTTTAATTTTAAAGAAAAACAGCTTGAGTCGGTAAAATACATCATGGAGGGTAAAGATACATTCGTTGTCCTACCAACAGGATATGGGAAAAGCAAAATATACTCCCATTTACCCGAGATTCATGGACTTGTGAGAGATACTCCTGGTACAGTGCTTGTTATTTCGCCGCTTCAGTCTTTGATGAAAGATCAGGTTTCTAAGCTCAATAAGATGGGAATTTCAGCAACTTTAGTTGGAGAATGCCAAAGTGACAAGAACATTGCTGATATGATACGAGAGGGTATATATCAGTTGGTATTTTCTTCTCCAGAAGCTGCCTTGACACCAGGGTTTTGGAGACGTTGCTTTACCACTGGAATATTTCACGACAACCTCTTTGCTGTTGTTGTTGATGAGGCTCACTGCATCATAGAATGGTAAGTTATCACGGTATTGATTAAAATGATACTATTAGTGTGTCTATACTATACAACATTGTCAGCTGATCTAAGCCTTGACTAAGATCATGCATGAAAAAATAATATGTGGAAGAAGTATGATTGCCTATTAGACAACTCTCCACAAGAGACTGGATGGCCTTTTGCAAATGAACAAAACCTGTACCACACAGTCTGTAAAAATTTCAAACGATACATGTTATGTTGTATGTATAAATTTATAACATATACTTTTAATCATTTGTTTTTTTGCTATAATGTAACAATAAAACAATTTAATAATGTGTAGGATTTAATAATGTCCCCCATGAAATAATGTCCACCGAACATTATTTCATAGTAAATAATGTCCATTACTGATTTGGTTAACATGATTAAGCACTGTTTAACATTGTATTATGAGTATCTATATTTGCATAACAAATATTTATGGTTTTTGTATATATTTTTTCAGGGGTGATGATTTCAGACCAGAATATGGGAACCTTGCACACCTCCGTTCCATTGTTCCTGACAAAACAGTTTTTATAGCAATGACCGCCACTGCAACCAAAGAAATGAGAAGAAGGATTATTAAACACCTTGATATGTGCCAATCAGAGACACAAACCGTATGTATGTTGCCTGAAAAGAAAAATCTTACGTATGTGATCAAGAAATCAAGAAAACAAACAGATGAACTTCACTGGATCCTTGCAGACATACTAGAAAACAAGGAAAATGCAAAGAAGACAATCATTTATTGTAGAAATATAGCGGCATGTGCAAATTTGTATGAACATTTTTACATCAACATTGATGATACTCTGAATTTTGATAGTAGACTAATTGCCATGTTTCATCGCTCCACAACAGAAGAAAATAAAGAACAAGTGCTGTCTGAATTCCCAAAACAGGACAGTAAGTTACGTCTTGTATTTGCCACTGTGGCTTTTGGTATGGGGGTCGACATACCGGATGTTGAACAAATTGTACACTGGGGTGCCCCTCGTAGTTTGGAGCAATATTCGCAGGAAAGCGGTCGTGGTGGAAGAGACGGCAGACAATGTGTCTGTGTGTTGTACTTTTCCGGTATAGACATTGCTAAGGACAGATCAACTGATGCTATGAGAGAGTTCTGTCGCACTTCAGGATGTATTCGTAAAGTTCTAAATGTCCATTTCAGTTTGGGAACATTAAGCGAGGCATCAAACTTTGAAAAAGGTCTGTGTTTTTGCTGCTCTTTGTGTTCAGAGCAGTGCAATTGTAACAATTGTTTCATACCTAGGTGTAATGTTGACTTTGCAAATGTAAGCGAATCTGTTGTGTGTGATGAACTGGCTGTAAGGTATCTCACTAGTAAGCAAATGAAATTATTAAAACTTAATTTGCAAGACTACCAAAGTGTTATATGTGAAGACAATCCAAGCAACATCCATGACCTTGATTGCCAGTTAATAGAGGAAATAGTTCGTCATTCTGATACCATTATGTGTATTGAAGATGTGATAGAATTGGGGCTTTCTAAACATGACTATGCTGAAGACATACTGTTGTTGATAGAAGAAATAGAAAACCTATAACATGTTTAAAACTATTGCAATTTTTGTGCAGTTACATTTGTAAATACACATGTAAATTTAAACATTGATTTAACAAAAATTTAAATAAATTAATATTTTAACAGTACATGTGTATATACATGCTTATGTATTACAGTCAACAATGACTCTTTTAGGATCAAGTTAATCAACACATTTAACTAAATAAAAATAAAGGTTAATCATGTTATTTAGTTAATGTTTAATAGTCGCTTTTCAAATCACTAAAAGACTTTCTGAAGCAATTAATTATCTTTTTCCCCTATAAAATTTATCTTCAAAGTTTTCTAGGAATGACAGTAGCTAATTTTTTTTATGTAAATTTTGTTTGTTTCATATGTGTATACGTATTATAAAGTGTTTTATTTTACTGGCTAGAGTACGAAAAAAATTTGACAAAAACCATTGATATTGTAATGAACAATGATTTCTGACATTAAATTGTATATTATTGTAATCCTAAATTTATTGTCTATAAATTCAAACGTGTGTTATAATAAACTGTATGTAGTTTCCTTAAATCTATTCTTTGTTACATGTATATATTTAATTATATATACAAATAAGGAGATGTGGTATGATTTCAACTGAGACAATTATCTAACAGAGTTCATACATATTTGATGTTCTGATTGACCTTTGAATAATCTTGGATCTTCAGTCATGAAATTCTCTGAACCAAAAGTACATTTCATACTTTCACTTAAGATGAATATGTCAATGAGACAAAAAAACCAACAACGAAAATAGACACTTAATATTTACTACATAGACCTCTATTATATTCATGTGTCCTTTCTAAATATCAAGAATTAAAGCATCCTGTACCTTTAAAAGTTGAAATTATTTAGCGAGAACCAAAATATATGCTGTCAACAACAAATATACATGTACAACCAGTAGCAGTCTGAAACACCACCCTATCCTCCACCAATAAAAACAGGAGTCTCCTAAAAATACACAGAAGATACCAAGGGGAAGATAAAAATTTGTTTGTCAACACCATTAATAAAATGGAAAGAAACCGATAAGACAAACATGTCAACCAAAAAAATAAAAAGAAATTAAATTGGAACAACAAGAAATCCCTACAAATTTTTAGGGTGCTCTAACATAGATATAAGAAAATGTGGTATGAGTGCCAATGAGACAACTCTCCATTCACTCCATACAATGCTCCAATAGGATTCACAGAATTTGCCTCAATTAACGTGGTGTAAAACTAAAGGGTAACAAGATCCAGAGCCACAGAAATGAGATTTGCAATAAAATCAATAGTAAATGAAAGGATATGGAGTAGATGTACATAGGACAAAATTGCACACAATACATAGAAAACATAGAAAATTATCAATGAACAGGGCTTTTCCTGTTCTTCATCTTAACAGTTGATGTTGGGTCTTCAACAATGAACGAATCATTCATACCTTACACCCAGTTCACATTCTTGCTCCCCACCCGCCTTGGAGTGCCAACTTGTGCGATGCTTGTGTACGACAGTTCTCCAGTAGAAAGCACCAGGGATACAAGAAAGTTTCAATTAGTCTTCATGTAGTTTTAATTGGCAATAACAAATAAATATTCACGCACAAAGGTTTAAATTTCTATAATACTTGGTTGTTCAATGAGAATTCCTACTTTTCTGTCCCAAGACGCTTTTATTCCTGGTTGGACAAGACTTTTTGACCTTTTTGATTTGTACAAATGTATCAGCAATTCAGAGTTTGATTTCAGTTTGCTTAGACTGATTAATATTTTGATCTTTAGCGTCACGAAGGACACAGGACATGTATGAATTTATATGCACATCTGGTGCATTAAAATGAGTAACCTTGGATGTTAACTTCTTCGTGTACCTATCTCTTTCTTTTAGAATGAAATATCAGTTTGGGACTTTTGCTTGTAGACAAAATGAAGATGCATCAGTTTATTATTGGTAATTTGAAAACTTTTGTGCAGGATCCGAGACTCATGTCCTTGATATCAATCCTGTAATCAATATCATTATGAAAGTGATATGTTGATAAATACCAATACATGTACTAGTAATGACAAATTAAAGCCAGTATAGAGAAGAAAATGCCAAAATATTCAGACAAATCAGCTACATGTATTTTTGTATGGATGACTGGTGTGAGTTTGGCTTACTGTAAATAGTAGTAAGGTGTCCTATACTATGTTGCTTAAATCAACCTTATTTGCACTGGTGGATAGTTGTCTGTTTGGCTATCATATCATCTCTATATGTTTAAAAAAAGGCTGCAATTCAGTGGTTGTTGTTTGTTTATGTGTTACATATTTGTTTTTCGTTAATTTTTTGTACATAAATTAGGCCTTTAGTTTTCTCGTTTGAATTGTTTTACATTGTCATTACTCAGCCTTTTATAGCTGACTATGCGGTATCGGCTTTGCTCATTGTAGAAGGCTGTACGGTGACCTATGGTTGCTAATTTCTGTGTCATTTGGTCTCTTGTGGAGAGTTGTCTCATTGGCAATCATACCACATCTTCTTTTTTATATGCAAGATAAAATCATAGCTGGAAATGTAAGTGAATCATCACATTTGCTTCCAATAATCTTCACAACTACAGCTGAAAAGTCTTGTAAAGACACCAATCTAACCTAGTGATGCAAACCATATCAATTGGGCAAAAAAATGTAACAAAATATGATTAAGACTGCTTTTCATGTTTATTATTGCTGGAATTTTTCCAAGCTGAATTTTTAATAATTTAATTGACAGATGAAAAACAATGAAATTTAAACAGTATACATACAGAGTAAATAAAGCACATGACTTGTGAACAATTACTTTTTTCGCACTATGAAAACATAAAAATGAAGTTCTATTATTGTTGATCTCCAGGATTGATGGACAGTCAATGTTTCTACTAGATACATGTATACCAAAGATTAAAAATAACACACACAAATATCACAATTTTCTTTACATTGCACTATTCACTTCATAATAATTAAAATAACATTCAAAAACTTTAAATTACATATAACATATATGTAAAAAAAAAACACCAATAATCATGACAGTTGTAAAAAATTAAATGCTAACATATTACTGCATTTATTATTACTTCTACTGTTATATATATTGCACAGAAAATGATGTATTGCACAGAAGATGTTTTCATTTTATATTTCTTAGTAAATGAAAAAATGATAAATTATGCACTAAAGAAGAAATGATCAAGTGATGCACTATTGGTAGTATCCATGACATATAAATACATAAGTTTTTTAGAAGGATGGCTGTTTTTCTTTGAATTACACATACATCTACATTTTCAAGGTTAGCACTAGGCTGACTAATAAACATGTTTAACTTTAAAATATTGAAATACATGCATGAAAGTAAAAAGGTTATCATGCAGGTACCAGTCATGTTTTTCATACAAAAAAATGCACCATAAATAAAACCAACACATACAAAAAAAAATGCACTATAAATAAAACCAGCCTCATTTCAAAGCAATACATGTACAGCTGACCATGATATTTTTATACTTTTAAGAGACACAACCAAGAATCAGTATCTAGAGGTCAAAATAACAATGAATAAAAAAAACTTTATACATGCTACTAATGGGCTGCCTTCAACTCATTAAAACAACAAAAAGCACAAGTTATAAATAAAAAAACACAACATAATAGAAAGCTTTCTGATATTGAACATGAAATGTATGATTAAAATGGAGTAACTTAATCAAGTATACACATGTATTTATACAACATTTTTTAAAGCCACCATTAACAATTTATCACAGTTTAGCACCTTTTTTTCATACATAATATGATTTCCGTCTCTGTATCTTGGCGTATGTTTCCTTCTTTTCTGTTAGCCATTTGTTAAAAGTCTTCCCTTTCAGGTCAGAAAGTGGATCGAATGGAATATATTGAAAGGATTTGTGATAACGTCCTGGAATTTCATTGAACAGTTTCTCTGGTTGAAGTTGTGTTACAATCATGTTTATGTCCTTTTTCAAAGATGGTTTTGAATTTGAAGGCTTTCCAAAATACTCTCCTAGACCATTTACATATGCATCCATGATGTCGTTGCATCCTTGAAGGCTTCTACCAACACGTTTTATGGACGTTGATGTTAGATTTCCATGCAGCGCATGCAAAGCATCCTTGGATCTCATGTTGAAGAATTCTAAGGCCAGGTCACCTGGTACGTTCCCACCTTTTCCGCCATGGATATTAATTGACCGATTATGTTTTAGTTCAAAGGCAAGCCTTGGAGGTAATGTAGCCATAATCTGTGCTTGAAGTTTAAAGGCCAGTAGGCGGTATTTTGTATGGTTTGAATTTGAAAACCTAAGCATATCAAATTTCCACATTCGAAAAAGGCGATCACCATCATTCTCTTTGGCTGAGTCTTCCCTACACCAGTCCATCAAACCATCCCGAAGCACACAACATGTGTAATTAAACTTAAAGTCAGTTTTGGAATCTGCAGATTTTTCCTTTGTCTTCTTCTTTGGTTCATTTGCGACTGGTTCATGTGGCTGTAATATATTTAAATCTTTATATTGACAAGTTTGTCGATGGTTGCGCCGACACAGTCCATCCAACAGGTAAGATTTTGGACAACCAGGATAACCGCATGGCACTCTATTGGTTTCATTGTTGTCTTCTGTTATGTCATCACAATCTAGAGTAAACCGTTCTTTCTTAATGAAACGATCAACAATAGTCTGAACAATATGTTCCATTAATTCTGCTTTTTGTTCATCTGTTGCAAGATTATTTACATGGTTATCGAATTCATTCAAGTTGTTTACTCCAAGGACTTGTAATGCAGCTAGGAGTATAAAACCTTGAGTGGTCAATCTCATAAACTCTCTGCAATCATTCACTGCTTTTGTCACCTGTTTGGGTAAAGAAAAAAAAGATTTACTAAAAGAAAAAGTATTGTGATAATAATATTTTTCTATTATAATGACACTAAGTTATAATAAGAATTGTAAAAATGAGATTAATGCCATCCGGAATGTTAGAGATTTTTGTTGTTTGATTGCTATCTCATTCATGTACACCGACATCTCCTTTTTATCATAACATAATTGACTGTCAGAACAGTCAGTCAAGAATTATCCCTGTAATATCTACGTGTCAATTCAAGTGTTGTAATATGGGAGTTTTACAGTGTCCTCTTTAAACTATTACATTCCTATGTTATTGGGCTATTGTGTCTGGCGATATTTCTTTAATTTGCATATTTTGAATACTCATCAAATTACCTCTGATTTTACTCCACGTCTATCAAGCATATTCCTTAACTGGAACAGTGTTCCTCTTTCACCAGATGATGAGCCTTTGAACAGCATATTAAATGATTCCTGTAATAATGAGAATTACACAAAGCTATAATAAGTATGTAAAGAATGGCATTATTTCATAAACACATATTTGAGGGGCCTGATGGGGGGGGGTCTCATCACGATTCACGAGTTGATTTTTTTGTCAATCACGATTCACAGAAAAGAAATTTACCTGATCACAGATCACGAAAATATAAAAAGAGTTTAATCTGTAGAAAAATGGATCACGATAGCGAAAATGCGCCGATCACGAAGAACGAAAATAACCCATCAGGCCCCTCATATTTAACAGAAAGTTAATTTCTGCTTGTTAATCAAATTTAATGTTAAAATAAAAATGACATACAAAATTAAAAAAAAAAAAAAAAAAAAATTAAAACTTAGTAACAGATTTCAATACTAAGTACTTGGTAAAAGATTTCAATACTATGACTACATTTTCAATCTGAAGAAAAGAAGTATGCTCTTACCTGTAATGATATTATGTGGCCATGCCAGTCCTCACTTTTCCAAACGTATCCATCTAGCCTCTGCTCTGGTGTCGTTGCATCTTGTCTGGCTCTCTGTGCTCCATCACCCCTTTCTACACTCAATGCATCTCCTCCAAGAAGTAATGGTATCATTTTACCGTTCTCTGTTGTTGGCACATACTGTTGCAGGTGTTCCATTATCTCAATCATCTGTTCCATGATGTTCTCGTCTTTCTCTAAAATGCCTAAAGGAATCTTAAAAAAAAAAGAAGTTTGTTATTAACATACAAATATTGTTTCGTTATAGAACATAGGTAATAAATGCTTGAACCAAAGCATACATATATACACGTATTTATAAATTTTAGTTTTGCCTACAGTATCATGTATCAAATGATCAATTATTTTATAAAATAACAGCATAATTTTTTACTTTGTTTTCTCATAAAATTGATCATATATATATACACGTACATTGTGACTATTAGATCATTGTTGTTTATACATGTATATTAAAAGGTATGTTAAATTATCTTTTAAAAATATTGTATCACTTACAACATTGCTCTTTTTTTCTGACTGCTTTGAATATTGATGCTGGATATGGTATTCCACTAAATACTTTAAGTTTTCCAAGCATGGTACATTTTCAATAAGCGTTCTCTTCATCAATGTCTTGAAGTCCTGATGCAGGTCAAAGTACTCTTGGTCTCCAGGGATGAATGCATCATTTGGGATGGATAATATATCAGCCTGTGGATGGGTTGAATCCAAATCCAATCCTGACACACGAGAATGGACAGCAATAGAATGAACTAAGTTGTGTATTTTGTTCTTGTTATCAAGTGTTTTATGTCTGGTCTTTTGATGTAAATTTAAATTGTCCATCACAACTTGAAAGGATCCACCATCTCTGTTAGCTTCCTTAAGAGTTGTAGTAAATGGTGATTCATCTTGGCTCATGACTGAAATTTAATCAATAAATATAATGGTATGCAATACAAAGGTTTTACAATTATGTTTAAATAAAATAGTCTCCTTTTTAGACAATATACATGATATAAATACAGTTTATATACATGTTTATTAATTCATAAACATAAGCATTCTAACATGTGAACTTCTTATGAAGCAATATCTGGGTAACAAAGTTCAACTTCTGAAATCAACATAACACAAGGTGACTGATCCTAAAAAAATATTTATTTGGTCTTAGGTAATTCATCTAATCTAACAATTCCCAGTTTTGTCCTTTTCCTGATTGTATTATTACTTGAAATTTAATATAAAAAGAAATAAAAAACATACCTATAGCTGCATCAGTCACGCATTTTACAACAGGAGTTCTTGGTGAAAGATCTGGAGAAGTTGTTTGTTCTTCTGTAACATTTGGTACCCAAACATCAAAGGTATCATCTGCATTGAAAATAAAGTACACATGTAGAACTATAATCTTTAAAGATTTAAAAACATTCCCTATTTTTTTCATGATATATATATATATATGCAAGTCTAAATTGAAAACAATGTTCAAACCTATGATTGAGTTGAATAAAAAAACACAATATTTATACGTGTGCATGCAAAAACATATTTCTTGCTATACATGGAGGGGTCTAAATACAGCACCAACAACATTTTCCGAAAGACCAAAAATATGAGCTAAAAAGGTATATTTTAACTTACTCGAATAAAACAACTGAATTATTCGGGTTATATTTTAACAAAACGCATTATACTAGCAGGTCCAACAACGGAGTGTTGATTTTACTCAGCAGATTGCACAAGCTTGTGATTCGTGGTTTATTCAAATGTGTTGAAACTTTTTTACTTGTGTTTGAAAATTTCCCTCCACAATAGTTACAAAGTATTATATACAACATACCAAAGGGTTCTGTAGTAGAAACTGACACATCACAATGGACATTCAAATATCTGTTGTCTTTTAGTGGAGTATCTGAGAGTTCGATCTCACCAACAAAAAGTGGGCTATTAACAGGATGCACAGAACTTAATTCCCCATCAGAGACCTTGGTAATTGGAGTAGCGTAATAATAATCATCTAAAAAAAAGAATAATACATGAAATACATTGGACACATATTTCATTATAATTATATATAATACTGTTATGATTATTTTTTGGAATTTTCAATTTTGGTTCTCCATCTAGCAATGTCTAGAATAATGGCTCAATAATTTTGGTGCGAGAAAAACAAATATATAAATTCAAAATATAAGCCAAAAATTTACAATATGATTTGATGATTAACCTGAAATAAGACATTGAACCATGTCTCAAAGTTATAATATTTAATAGCATTGTATATATATATATTGTAGACAGTGCATTTTATCTTGTAAACTACATGTACATGTATGCATATAAATTGTTGCATCAACATACCAAAGCATTCTATAGTTGGGATTGTCACTTCGTTAGCATCAATGGAGGGTAAATCACCATTTGACTCTTTGCCTTTGAGAGGGGTATCTGTGACAAGAAGTGCAACTGAGTAGCAATGGTCACCAGAGGTCACAGTACTAGTGTTGTCTATAGTAGAATAGCAATGGTCTCCTACAAAAGAAAAGGCATGTTCACATGTTCTGAAATTTTAAAGTAAAAGATCCTCAAGTTTCAGATTCTGATGATATTAAATAGTACATATACTGATATACTAAACTATACATATGATCGTGTACATCATGTACATATTTATATACATTTTGTACAGTGTATGCTATAAAACAAAATAAAGAAATAAAAGAAATTGAAATCAAACAAATATTTGCAAATGGCATGATATGTAATTACATCATTTGTTTCTTAAATTTTGATGATAATTACATGAATTATAAACTAATAAAAAAAATTAAACCATAGAATCATCCTCCCTTGTCCATGTATTAACTAATCATGCTAATCATTATTTGGATTTGATGTCACACAATTTTTTTTTCTTCTGAAAAGCATACATGTATTGGACACACCTAATTTAAATATTTCACTGAAATGCAAATATTTAACCATGATAGCTATTATTTAAGTTATCAAATTCCTAAATCAATCACATGTTACTCAATATACCTAAACTACTATCTTCTGTGACTGTGTTAAGCTGATATTGGTTAGACATCTCTTTTGACCACTTCTTGACAGGCATATCAAAGTTTTCACATATTTGATCTACTAAGCCTAATGTTGCCTTGTAGGAGTTGCAAATCCCTGCTCTGTTAAATGTACTGTAAACCTAAAAATCAGACATAATATGTTGTATTAATTTGTATATCTGAGTTAAATTTTACAATTCTATAAAATGTTTCAGCATACTGAGTACATGTTGTTAAAACTTGGTATAGCATGATCAATTTGGTGGGGGGGGTCCAGGTTTTTTCCAAACAATATTAAATAAATGCTTTTGAATAGGGACTTAAGCATACATATATGGATATGGTTTGAATCCACCCTCCCCTTCTACTATGTAGACATAGTTACATTGACAACATGATATTTGATTGCAGCATATATATATAACCTAGGGCTATGACATGCTTTTAATGCATACTAATGTATATGTATAGTGTATGGAACACAAATTTATCTGTCTTCATAGTTACATTGACAACATGATATTTGATTACAGCATATATATATATATATAACCTAGGGCTATGACATGCTTTTAATGCATACAGTGTATGGACTTTGAATACTGAACTTTTCAATCTACATAATTTTTGTGCTTCATCGTCAAGTGCCTTTTTCACAGTAGTTGCCAAATCCTTCTTTACCTCATCTATTTGAAGCAGGTGATTTAATGCTGTTTTGTACTGTTTCATCACAATGGCTCTGCAAGCAAGTTTACCAGGGCCTTGCAAAAGTGAGTTTCGCCGACTACTCCTAAAACCTATTTGAACCTGCAAAAACAAAAAAGACCTCTAGATAAGAATTTCAGAAGTACATGTATATAAAATGGATTAAGTCTCTATATACATCACTGTACATGTATCTTTTAACATTTGAAAAATTTGCATTTTTATAAAACCAAGGGTTTGTGTACATGTATGAGGGTCTGGGTGTGGTTTACAGAATAATAAAATAATGGACAAAATATATGAGATAAGAAGAGATTAAATGGTCTAAAAATTATAAAGATAAAGGAAGGGGTCACCCATATCCAGATCATGAAATATATACAATAACTATTGTTTGGAAGTTACATGTACATATATGTTATAGATGATTTTGAATGTACATTTTGTTATTATACATGTACATGTACCAAAATAAGAATTCAAAAGAAAAGATATACTTTCATTGTACTTTACATAATCTTTAAAATATAAATACACATAGTATTAATGCAAGTGTATACTATAATAAAATATTAATGAGTTTGTATTTAAATGAGCAGTATATATATAAAAAATGAAGGGTACATGTATATACGTGTACAATTTTCATACAGTGAGTATATCCATATACATGTACATTTATTTTTATAGAACTATTGATGACTGTCTACATCATCATTTTTAATATAGAACATTTAAGTAAAGTTTTGTGTCTCTAGTTACCTTCACTTTTGGACCAGGCGATTGTAGCTTGGAAGTTTCTGTTAGCTTTCTGCAAGATTGTGGAGTCTGTGATGACTTTGGAGTCTGTGCCTGTGGTGGTTTTGGTGTTTGGAATTTCAACTGTCGTCTTCTGGACCCCTTACTTGGTGTCGAAAATCTGTTTCTCTTTCCCCTGGGGGTGCACCCTGATTTAGACGGTGTGAGTGCATGTAATGCCCTCTTCTTTGTCGTGGTTGGGCATTTTTCTGTCGTTGATGGGCATTTTTCTGTTTTCTGGTGTGGATGGCAGGATATTCATCTTTATCTTGGTCAACAACAGTTTGTAAGTTATTAGCGAATTCGATGAATTGTGGTGAAGCACTTTTCTTAATATTGTTCAATAAGTTCTTCAACTTAGTTTCACACGTAAATACGGCCTTTAAAGTAATAACACATTGGTTACAAATGAAAACATCATCAACTCTCAAGTCAACAACATAGCGAATTTGTTCTTCATCTATTTCATAACACTCTGACAGTATTTTAACAGCATTAACTTCTTTTATTTCGTTTTTCAAATTTCGCCTCTTTTCATTCTTTAAGTTGTTAAGGTCAAACACATGCGTACAATGAAAACAAATCCGATTACAATGATCCATTTCACATATTTACATATGAATACAAACATCGATAGCTCCTCCTTAATTTACCGCCAAATTATTTGTAACTCCCACAATTCATTGCGAAGTAAAATTTCCGGTTGACGGACTTTATCGACGAAGGCGTTCAGGCGTTAATGTAGCCATCGTAGATCAGCGGAATATAACGACTGAATTATTCGGGTTATGGGTGATGGGGATAAATGTGTTGAGCACTTTTATATAAGGACAAATGACCTTGCTTTCTAATTGTGTTTTATAATCGTAACCTATTACGGATTTTAAATGTTCTACTTAATTTAAACTATTTATGTCTGAACAAACTCTCGACAATCCATATTTGGATAGGATTAGTAGTGTTATTTCCATTATTCTGATAGGAGGGTAGAACTCAAGTATTCATGCATTTGATGGGTCATGAATAATTTTAGGTTGATTTCACTGGACTTTTCGAAATTGTGCGTTATGATCTGCTATTAGCATAACGAAATAAAACAATTCTATTATCATTAGTTTGACCTCTGAATTCATTTGTCTATTTCAGCATATCAAATTTTCAAAACATATTTTTCTCATTGTTAAAATACCATTGAACATATTCATGATATTATTCTTAATGGATTTCGATATTGCAATATTTCGGCCTTTTTTTGTTTTGTTTGTATTACAGTTTAATCCCATCGAGATGGAAACTGTTGTTTTATATTATAAAAAGTAGAGTAAGGACATGTTAACAATAGTCTAAACTTGACTTTTAAGATAACGTTTGCTCATTGACTTTACGAAATTGACTATAATATCATTAACAGCCGTTATCGACCGTTCCACAGGGACGACATGCATTTGGTGGATCTCGACAGAATGTAGACTTGGAATCAAAGACTCTTCCTGAACTACAGGTTGTAAGTGTTGGGTTTCCATTTACACAAGTGAAATAAATATCACATCTTCCATGGGCCATCCGCTCATTGTAGTTACCGTTTGAGCGTCCAGAGCAAGAAATACCATATCCAACCTGCCAATAGGATGGTGGTATTTCATACATATTTGTGCATTTACCATTTTAGGGTGTCATGTTGTTTTGACAGGGGTTTCGACCATCATACATGTTTCTTTCATCTTGACATTCAAAATAGACCTCTACTGGTGGCGCAACGTATTTATTTCTGTATACTCCGTCAGAGAATCCCATGCAGTCGGGTGAAAAATAAACGCAAACTTTACATGCTGCATTGCAAATATAACTAACCGCAAGGTAATCACATACAAGTTAGAAAGCAATGATTAATTAACAGTGATATCAAAATGAATTTTATCTGCCTATGGATTGACGAAAATCAACTACATAATATTCACAATGTTGGTTCTATGTATTTTACCTTTTCTAACCGTGTACCCACAATGTTACGAATTGTATTTATATTTTTGTATTTTGAATGTTTTTATTCACTATTTGATATATGTCGTAATATTCGCCTTCTTGATTCAAATTGAAGAATATTACGTACATTTTTCCAAGATATTTCACTAACACTTTTCAGAATCAAATTTTGATACCAAAATTTGGCAGTGTCTTATTGATATTAATATTCACCTTTACTTTGTTCTGTTCAAATCAACTCACATCTGTTTTTTGTTTCATATCTAGACCCACATTTTACGTCTGTATAATTCTGGCAAGACATAATTGTTGTAGAGAATAGCTCTGGGTAAGGACATTCGTGCAGGTAGGCAGGTCTCGGAATTTGTTGAATATGAGAGTAGATTCTTTCTACTGTGGGAACGGGTGAAACCGCTTTGCTGCAGTTATAGAATAGCTGGCATGTATTTGGATGTGGTATGAGTGTGTTGGTATCATATTTACATGTTTGTAGTTGTAAATCTTATTTTTTTCTGTTGTATTCGTGTGTTATGGTAAAGATAATTAATCACCAAGTTCATTAATTAGATTTTAGTTTGGGTCAATTAAATTTATACGATATATTTGGTTTACAGTTTGATTTAGAAGAAACACCGACATAGCTAGATAATACTATTAATTATCTAATTACTACCACATTTTATATTAATTAGTATTGTAATTTTCATTGTTATTAATAAATGTTATATGAGTATTATAAACCAAATCTTGAATTCTATCCTAATTCTATCCTTTTTTGGGGAAATTTCAGAAATTCAAATGTGACGTCACTTTTTTTGCGTTGATCTCTTTGGCTAACTCGGCTGTGAATTTTTATGTGCTGGTTTATGTTGTTTTATGTATCCGTTTTTATTCTGTAGTTATTCACCACTTCGGTGTTATCATGTATATCTATTATATAGTCATTTTTATAAATTTACTGTTTGCAAAAGTATGAATTATTGTAAATACTAAGGATTTTCTTATCCCAGACATATAACCTTAGCCGTATTTGGTACAACTTTTTGGAACTTTTGGTACTCAATGCTCTTCAACTTTGTATTTGTTTTGGCTTTCGTACTTTTTTGATCTGAGCGTCACTGGTTAGTCTTGTGTAGACGAAACGCACGTCTTGCGTATTAAATTTTAAACCTTGTACCTTTTGTTAGCTATTATTCGTATGTTTCTCTGTCCTATATGTTCTCCCATTTATTTGTATTGTAGACCTGTCATGTACTGTTGTCATTTTAATGTTATATTTAACATTGCCATAAAAGCGGGAGGTTTGGCTAGCCACAAAACCAGGTTCAACCTAACATTTTTTTCTTAAAATGTCCTGTACCAAGTCAGGAAAATGGCCATTGTTATATAATAGTTCGTTTCTGTGTGTGTTACATTTTAATGTTGTGTTTCTGTTGTGTCGTTGTTCTCCTCTTATATTTGATGTGTTTCCCTCAGTTTTAGTTTGTAACCCGGATTTGTTTTTTTCTCAATCGATATATGAATTTCGAACAGCGGTATACTACTATTGCCTTATTTGGTTGACATCTGGGAAAAAGATAATTTCAAGTCTTAATAAGTCGAAGATATAAAAAAGATGGGATTATTAACAAAAACAG